TGAGATGAAAAGAACCTGGGTCAGGGTGGAGACTAGGGTTATCAGAAGGTAAGGAAGGGGATACAGCAGACATCATGAAGGAAGAACCAGAAAAAAAAGAGGAAGAACCGTAAGATGGTGAATATTAGCCAAGAGAAAAGGGAGTGAAGAGCATCGTGGGTGAACCTAGGAGTCTAAAAAGACAGTTGTTCCATTAAAGGAGTTACAAACTCAGTAAGGGTGTATGAGTTGGAAAGAAAAAATGCTGAGCTAGTTTTTTCCCCTTCCTTTTAACATGTTGAGTTTAAGGTAATGGGTAGCATCCAATTAGTATTTGGGGAAATGACACTGGAGCTCACGGAGAGCAGCTAGGCTGAAGATGTGTACTGAGAAAGACGTGACCTTTAAGTCTGAGTGAATGAGTTCCATGAGGAAGAAAGCAGAAAGACAGAGGAAGGAACTAGGAATGTGAGCAAACCCACACCAGGCATTTAAAGGAGTTCTGAATTTCTTATGGTTTTATGCCATCACTTACATCATCATTACATAATCAAATTAATGATTTAACTGCCACATATTAGGGAGGCTCGCCCCCAAAGTCTAATCTTGTTGAGAAGAAAAAGACAACCTCAATTAGAGTAAAAGATTTAAGTAGCACTTCAAAATAAATAATAGAAAGATGACCCAAGAAAATGCTTCATAAATAAATCGTACAAACTATAATTTCTTGTGTTAAGAGTACCTGGAGAGATACCTCAAGCTGGGTGTTTTAGGAAAGCTTTATGAAGGAAGTGAGTTTTCAGTGGGTCATGATCTGAGAGGCTGAGTTGTAAGCCTTTCCAGGTAACTGAAAGGGCCTGATCAAAAGGAAGGAGGCAAGAAGATCCAGGCGGGTGAGTGAACCAGTTTGGCAGGAGGAGAGGAGTATCTGGTGGGAGGAGTGGGGGTGGGGAAAGCAGATAAGGCTGGGAAGGTAGGTTGAAAGCAAACTTCGTCAGGTCTTGAATCTACCAGACTCAGGACTTTCTCTAACGCTCAGGAGAGTCACTGAATTTTGAGCAGGTGAGTGACATGATGGAATTTAAAATTCAGATCATTCGTCTGGCTCTATTTTAAAGGGAAAAGCCATAGAACTCAGGGACCATGCCGTTCAAGCCCTTCCTCTCACAGATGAAGACAGAAAGATTAAGAGCTGTTTCTAAGAGAGAACTCAGATTTCCTGACTGTTAGTTTAGTGCACTTTCTACAACTCTGAAATTTTAAATCAGCCTGCTTCCAGTCCTCTTTGGGAGTAGGTACATTATGGCACGCAGCTCTCTAAGGAGAAAGGAAGGTTGGTTGTGTGTGAGGGCGTCAACAATTTGTGAGGTACCTGGACTTCAGTCAGACACAGGCAACTAAAATGATAAAATAATGGCTAACCTCCGCTCCAGCTCCAATTTGATTCTGGGACTGAAACAAGGAGGATCCAGGTCAGGCTGGTCGGCAGAGGGAGAGAAAGGGCAATTTCAGTAGAAGAGAGAAACAGCACAATCCATTAGAGAGAAGACTGGACAAAGAGTGAGATGACTCAGAGTCTAATCCTGGGCAGCAGTGTTTGTGGATAAAGAAGCCACACTTGGGCTCACCCTGCTGAGGGACAGATAAATCAGATCACAGATGTTCTTAGAGGATCATTTGGAACTTGCGATGTATTTTCCAAGGAAACAGTGTTATAAAAAGGTGGTTAGTTTCTCAGATTATCCTCCAGGAACCTATATAAATCCCATGATAGCTGAAATTACTGCATATTCTGCAAAGAGAAAAATAAATATTTTTTGCAACATTAATAAGCAAAACAGATTAGCCAAACTAATTATTGTGTGTGTGTTTTTAATGGAAAACATTTAATTAGAAGAGCATATGGAACTGAAGGTTGTGGTGAATATGACAAAGAATGACTTCTTGGCACTTTCAAGGTCATCTGAGGTTAATAGCTCCGGCTCACAAACAGAAAAGAGGCAAGAGAAAGAAAGGGAAAGAAAGTTTGTGCTGTGTGTGTTTTTTTTTGTGAGGAAAATTGGCCCTGAGCTAACATCTGTTGCCAATCTTCCTCTTTTTGCTTGAGGAAGATTGTTGCTGAGCTAACATCTGCTCCAATCTCCCTCTATTTTGTATGTGGGATGCCACCACAGCATGGCTTGATGAGCGGTGCATAGGTCCATGGCCGGGATCTGGGCTCACAAACCCTGGGCGGCCAAAGTGGAGTGAACGAACTTAACCACTATGTCACCGGGCCAGCCCCATAGATGCGTGTGTTTTTGAGGATGATGCAACTAGGACTTGGAGGGTGAAAGAATGGGCCAGGCTGGAAAAAGCCAGGAGTGAGAGCCCTCTCCCAATCAAAGCGGGAAAGGAAGCCAGCGAGCATCCAATGTTTAGGCACAGGGGTCAGGAATCTAGATTCCAGGAGATTAGGCCGGAAGTGAGTTCAGAAAATAGATCTGAGGCAGTTAAGTCCCACCGAGAAGGTGGGACAAATGTTCAAAGCAGGGCCTAAGATTCAGGCTATCGATTCCAACAGACGTAGAGGGACGGGTCCAAAGGCAAGGCTCTGACTGGAGCCCAATCTCTGGGAACACGGAGTCCACGCTTTCAGCCAGACCCAAGACATAGAAGACTCAGCCCCTGGGGCCAGGTTTGGTTCCGGACGGTGGGTGAAAGCTGGGGTGGGCCTCGAGCAGACCTTGTGGTTTTTGTCAAGCAAAAAAAGACAGAGACCGAAGCAGAGTTAGACAAGGATAGAAGAAACAGGCCTAACGTTGATGAGCCTGTTTACAGGAACATTGAGAAGAGACTCTCAGAAGAAAAAGGCAGCACAGAGGGCAAGTGCCTCCGAGGGAAAGAAGGTGCGAGGAAGAGCCGGGGGGACCAGTCCCTGGCCACCACCAGGGGGCACCTCCGGTCCCAGGACAGCTCTGTTGATTCCCAGGACGGGGCGGCGGTGAGGAGGGCAGGGGACAGCTGAGGACCTTCAGCTGGGGGCGGGGATCTCAGCCCGCCTTCGCACAGACCGGAGGAGCCGGGCTCCTCGGCCGCCGGCCTCCCGGCGTCGCGAACGTTCTGGGCACTGTTACGAAGGGGCTGGCGGCAGCGACAAGGGGGAGGCCAGGTAAAAACGCTTACACGTGATACAAGATAAGGGCAAGAAGACAGACGGAGAAGCAGGGAGAAAGAAGGTGGGGAAAGGACAGTCAGGATATAATGGATTAGAAACAAATGTGAGGAAAAGCAGTAATCCTTAAAAAAAAGAGACGAGGTGAAAAGTGTGGGAAGTCAAACCGATCTGTGAGGAAATGAACAAAGACAGAAGAAAGTTCAGAAGACATCTAATTCACGCTGTGTGATGAATTCCACAGCCGCTTGTCATCTGTTAACAGGGCGTCCACGGAGGAGCTGGGCTTTAGAAACGCACCAAAATGTAGCCTTCGCTCTTGAGGAGACCTGAGATGTGTGCTCCTTTTCGTCAAAGATCAAAACATACGGTAGAATTCAAGGATGCCTTTTAAATCATTAAATAGTTCCCGGTAATGAAAGAGCAAAGCTGCAGAATTTAAGGGCTATTTCTATGCCAGGAAAGACAGAGAGCGAGAAAAGCCAGTTTAGAAGAAGTATTTTGAGATTAGTTGATTCATAAAGGACCCACTTAAACACACTTTTTCTTTAAGAAGTAGGTTTTTTAAACGCTGCCTTATAACAATACAACAGGTTATGAAAGTGATCCGAATCAGGCGAGGGGCGGAGGGCGAGAGTTGCCAGCCAGGCCGCCCGCACTGCATCCCGAGCGCGTCATGGCCGCCGTCCCCGCCGGCCCTCCGGCTCCGCGGCTCCGCGGGCAGAGGCTCCCCGACCGCGCCGGGCGCTTCGCGGCGGGGCCAGCGGCGCAGTGAGCGCCTCGGGAGTTTGGGAGGGGCGGGGAGAGGGAGACCACAGAGCCCAGCGAAGGGCCTCGGCGGCTGGAGTCGAGGGGGACTAAACACGAACTGCAAGGATCAGGACAGACGTCTGGGCGTTCAAGGCACTCTCCCCAAACTTGGAGCCCGTCTCCGAGCTGAGCTGCCCTTCGGGCTCGGCCGAGGCCGGGGTCCCGCGGAGTTGAACGTTTCTCAGCGCGCGCCTCACGCCCGCCCGGCACATCCCGGCGGCCCGGGCAGAGCGCGCGCCTCGGCCCGCGTCCGCTCCCATCCCCCCTCAGCATTGTGCGCGCTCTTCCAGGCGCTGTCTGCAGCCGGGCGGCCGCCGGGCTCCCAGCCCGTCTTCTCTGGGGCGGTCACACGTGTCCATTCCCTGGGGGGAGGGGGTCGCTCTTCCCGCACGGCCGCTGATTGGTGCCTCCCCCTACCCCACCCTTCCCGCCCCACTCCGGCCTCCATCCTACTTGGTTCCAGCTTAACCAGCCCCGCCACCTTCTTCCTTCGGAGAAAAGAGCCACTTGAGAGCTCTTCATTGAAGCACCGTTCTTGGTTGGAATAAAAGTGCGAAAGAACAGGTGGAAGCCACTGAATTTCTCTAGGCCTCCTATTTCTGGGGTGCCTAGCCCACTGGTTCTCCTGCACGACCGTCAGCACCAATAACAACTGAACTCCCACACGTGCGTGTGTCTGGCTCGAGCCCCAACCGAAAGCACCACCCTGCGGGCCCTTTAAAAGGACGCGACCACTAAGGCCGAGTAGGGGGTGGGAGAGACCCTCATTGTCCTCACTCGGCAAAGTCACTAAACTCCGCAGCCGCGCACACCTGGGAGGCGGCGCGCGCGGCACGGGGGTTCGCGGGGCGCGCCTCGCCCCCTCCCAGGCCGCCCCTTGCTCCCTCGGGGCGCCCAGGCCCCGCCCCTCCCCCTCCGGCCCGTGCCGCCGCCGGGCGGGGGCGGGGGTTGTTGTGGTGGCGCGGGCGGCCCCGCCCCTCCTCGTGGGCGGCCCCTCCCCCGGCCGCGCGGCCCCTCCCCGCCCCCAGCCCCATCTGTTTCCCCGGCGGCGCGATGATTATATTGTGCGGGCCCGGGGGCCGCCGCAGCCGCGGCCGCGGGATGGGGCGCGCGCGCGGACCCCGTCGGCAGCCGCAGCCGCCTCAGTGACTCGGCCGGTCGCCGCCCCCCGCGCGGCGCCCGCCCTCAGCTCATGCGCTCGCCGAGCGGCGGCAGCAGCGGGAGAGGCCGCCCCCGCCCGAGGAGCTGAGCGCCGAGCGCCGAGCCCGCGCCGGCGGGAGTCCGAGCGGGCGGGCAGCGTGGGGCGGCCGGGCGCTCCGAGCCGGGGCCGCCGCCGGCGCCCCTGGGAGATGTGCCCGGAGGAGGGCGGCGCGGCCGGGCTGGGCGAGCTGCGCTCCTGGTGGGAAGTCCCGGCCATCGCGCACTTCTGCTCGCTCTTCCGCACCGCGTTCCGCCTGCCCGACTTCGAGATCGAGGTGAGCGCCGCGCGGGCGGCCCGCCGCGCCTCCCTGGCCCTCGGCGTCCGGGGCGCCCGCGGCGGGGCGGGCGCGGAGGGGACGCGCGGCGCGGGGCCCGGCTCCGCGGGGCGCCGAGCGCGGGCGTCCGGCGCGGGACGTTGGCCGGGCCGCCGGCCCACGCGCGTCCTGGGCGAGGCGCGCGGCGGAGGGAGGGCGCGCCGCTGCCGGGCCGGCGGCGGGGCCGAGAGGGGCGGCGCGCTCCCGCCGGGCGGTGGAGGCGGCGGCCGGCTGCCCCCGGCGGGCAGGCGGGGAGGGTCCGCGGCCGGGGCCCGCCGCTCTGGGGCGCGTCGGCGAACTTGGGCGGCGGGCTCGGGGCCTGCGGCAGGCGCGAAAGTTTGGGACTCCGTTATTCTTCGGCAGCGCCGTCGCTCCCGGAACGCGTGCCTTCTGCGTGCGGGACCGGGCGTCCGAGCCGACTCTCCACCGTCCTCCCCCGCGCGGCGGGCGGCGCAGGGCCGGCAGCCGGCCCGGCCGAAGGCGCCGCCGCCCGCGGGCTTTGTGAGGGCCGGGCCGGAGCCGCGTCCCGGAGGTGGCGGGCGGCGGAGTCGGGGCGGCGCCGGCGTCCTCCGCCGGTGCTCGCGGGGGCGTGCGGCCCCGGGCCGGCTGGCGGGGCGGGGCGCGCGCTCGCCGGGGCCGGGACGTGCGGGACTTCCCACTTTCTGCCTTTGGACAAAGGTGGCTAGAGGCTGTCGGTGCGCTTTCCTCTCCAGCCCCGCCGGCGAGTCCGCCGAAGGAGTAATCCAGAGGAGAATCCCCTCCGCAGCGGCGAACCGTCGTCGTCGCCCTCCGCCCCATCTTACTTTCTGCCATTTTCGGATTGGTTTGAATTCGTTTACTCCTCAGATTTTTACCTCACCTTTATTTTTAGATTCAGTAGTGTTTGCGGAAATATTTGCTTCTCACATGAATGAAGTGTGGGAACTTGCTCTTGTTGAGGAGTTGATGAAATCGAGGAAAATAAAAAAGATCAAAAGGTAGAGGGGCGGCTGAGGAGGAATGCAGGCTGATGAAGTGGGACCGCTCGCTGGCTGCCGGGCCGGGGAAGCCATGTGAGGAAATCGCAGGCTCCTGCGTCCGGGGCAGGGGGTGGGCATTTTAGGGAGCCCCAGAGCATTTGTTTTCAGAGTTTGAACGTGACTGGAACAGGCGTGTTTTTAACTAAAAATTTTAGTGGGAGAACTGTTTATATTGACTGAAGAAGAGAAACAGGGCCACAGGAATTAAAAATTTGGGAATGCTAAAAGTCGAGAGATATTCAACAGTTATTCTGATACTCTTGTGTTTTCCTTTAGTTGGTGTAAAATCGTGAGTAGTTAAATTATATCCTGCTGCTCAAAATGGTGGCTCTTGTAGGAGGTGTTGCTTCTGACAATGCCATCTTGGGTGCTGGTAAACTTGCTCCTAGCCCATTTTCTTCCTTGCAAGATAATAAAGTTGAGGTGATGCTGAATTACAGATTTAGAGTCTAAGGATCCGATCTAAAAATACTGTGGAGAAACGTATCTTTCAAAATCCGTATGTTCCCATTTTGTTGATGGAAAAATACAGGTAACTCATTTTGCCATAAATTGTTAACAGATAATCTAGAATCATCCATAAATAACTTGTCTTATGTTCTGAGAAATAAACTTGTGGTTTCTAAGTATTAGCTGGTTTAATTCTTAAAGGAAATGTAAGCTGATCAAAGAGGTCAAATTTGTATGTATAACAGAAATGAAAAGTCCTTCTTGTTACAGGTGAATAATCTCAGGCCTATTTGAGATGACTGCCTTCTCTTTTGATGGGCGTGTTTTTTGGAAGTGACACTTGTTAGAGTGTGTGCTATTGAAATACATGCACCGTGAATGAACATCGAGAATCTGTTTTGATAGCTACCCATATCTGTTTTTATTTGGAGATGTTCAGTAGATGGATAACAAACGATAGTGACTTTTTACCTCTGCACATATTGTATAATCCTTTTCCTCTAAGGGGTGTTTTAACTTCAAGTTTTCAGTAGTTATCAGAAGTTAAAAATTCCAAATTTATTTTTTAGGCTTCCAGCATATTTAACTGAGTGACTGCAGAAGTCACTGAAAACATTATCCATTTTGATTCTCTTAAGTATAAATAATTTATTTTTATTTTGCCTCAAAGATTTTTTAATCTAATAGTTTACTGTCCTAACAGTTTGAGAAACAGTCCCTTGGTTAGAGTTTATGATACAGTGGAAGACCTTCTTAAAAAGAAAACAAAACAGTTCTAATGCTGAGTTGTACCTGTGAGGCCAGCTGGAAAGGCCCTACAGTCTTAATTTGCTGCAATTTTAAAAGCTAGAAATGATGAATAATACCAAGTGGTAGAAGTTGTATATTAGCTTTTTTTAGGACTCCAGTTTTCGCACGTGGGAAGGATCACATTTTTACCCTTGACCATGGAACTGAACCCGTGGATTTATAGAAAATTTAGGAAGCAGAATCCTCAAGGACTTGGCTTCTATTTATCTAAAGTGAAGCAATCTCTTAGATAGGAGCAGGGCAGGGCGGATTCATACTGCAAACCTCCCACTTAGAGAACTGATCCCCAAAGTGTGGGTATTTTTATTTTTGCATGTAAAAAAAAAAGTTCTTACTCTATTAATCAAGCTTGAATGTATAGGATTTATTTAGAAGAGTCGGTATACTTAATTCTTGTTTTTAGAATGTGTTTAGGGACTTGTATGTTTCTCTCTCCCCAAACAGGGGTTCTGTAATCTTCAGACCAAGAACTTCTAAATGTATAGATAATGCTTTATGTTGTTCAGAATTTTTGGTTTAAAAAATAATACATAAACATTATATAAAACTTGAAAATTATACCAAAATATAAGAGAATTAAACTCGACCATAATCACCACTTAAAGATAAAAGCTGTTAACTGTTAACGTTGTGTCTTACCGCTTAGGGATAAAAGCTATTAACTGTTAACATATTTAGAAGTTCCCAAATACGCTCACAGTGTATTTGTGCCTAGATTAGGTGTTGTTTTTATTTTTCAGATGAGGAGGTTGAGGTATGGTTGGACAACAGTAGATTAATGACTGCAGTAGTTGGTACTGTTAAGCACGTGCTTAACATCAGACTGGGAGATTACCAAGGAAGCTCGTAACTCAACTCCTTTGCCTCAGAAGATTATCTGTGAATATTTCAGAACCACTTCATTTAAATCAAGTATTTTATAATTGTTTAACATTCCAGTGGGTTAGGCTGGTTAAATTTTGTCCTGATTTGAGAAATGAAGAAGGGTGAATTGACCTCCTCGAAGATTTGACACTGATTTTGTTCCCTAGCCAGGTGATCTTTACAGTGAATAGAGTGTCCTACTTGACCAAAGTAAGGTGAGGGAGGATGGCATCATTTTCAGAAATCTGGTCTGGAGTTAATCATGATGGGTGTGGGGTTGGGGCAGAGGCCCATCACAAACATTTGGGGCATGTTTTCTCTGAAGAGGAGAACGGGGTACCTCTGGGTGGCTATTTGAAAATGCTCATGTAGAATTATCTGAACGGTTTGTATCGTAGCAGAATGATGAAAATAATCTGATTGTCCTGTCTTCCCTTATCCCTGCGCTGCTTCTCTTTGAGTAGTCAGTTCTTTGCCTGCCTTGTTTCCCCTTGCTGGCTGTGGTTGTATGTGGTTCGAGTCCCTTACCTAATCAGCATGATGATCTGGGGGCAGTATCTTTAGTGCAGATTCCCAAATTCTACCCTTGGTGTTTTTTTGATCCAACCCCTTGAACAGGAGCACCAAGGCATGAATTACTAAGCTTGAAAAGAAGTAATAAAAACTGCCGAGAGTGACTTAGTAGTGTATCAGTCCTGCCAGTGGTTCCGAAGCCTGGGGCCTGTGTGTGAGCCACAGGAGATTTTGTGTTGTGTACGGATATGCACTTCGCTGGAGCAGAGGGCCTGTCGCTTTCATCAGATTCTGAAAGAGGTCCCCAACCATACAAAGGTTAAGAGGCCCTGATCCCTTGAAAGAGTAAGTGTAAGATGAAAGAGTAAGTTGGCCCTGAATGGGGGAACGAGAAGCTGAGTTTCATGACACAAGATGCACTGGACTAGGAATTAGGAAATTTGAGTTCTTGTAATAGTTGTGCCACTAACTAGCTGTGTGACCTTGAGCAGGTCAGAATAGCCTAGTGATAAATGACACTCATATAGTGGCTACTTTGTTACATTTTCCAAGTGTTATTTTATCCGTAGCCATCTTTAACCATCGCCGTGAGGTGGGACTTGTCCTCATTTTACAGATGAGGACGTGGGAAGTTTGCCAGGCTAAGTTGCTTACATGCAGACCCTCACCTGAATCTCAGGTTCTTTGATATCAAATTCTATGCCGCTGTTACTACATCACACTATTTCCACTTCAGTTTTCATTACGTATTAGATGAAGGGGTAGACCTGTTAAGTAATGGCCGAGATTCCACAATGCAGACCTATTTTTAATAATGTGGGGTATAGAAGCTCCTTTTATAACTTTGGCTGAACTAAGTATGGAGGACAAGTTCATGATTTCATTTCTTTCTTTCAGCACACATTGATTGAGCATCTCCTATTTGCTAGGCACAGTGTACTAAGTGCTGGAGGTACAAATGTGGACATAACATAAAAAATGCCTGCTCTCTTTTTAGTGGAAGGACAGTACACAAATTGGTTAAGTACACTGTGTCAGAAACTGACAAGAAATAAAGTGGGATAGAGGCCCAGGGAGGGCCAGGTGGAGGGGGGTTGGATGTTGCTATTTAAAATAGGGCGATTAGGTATGGCCTCACTGGAAAGATGGCATTTGAGCAGGACTGAAGGAGAGAAGAGATGTATAATTTAAAAATTAGTAGTTTGCCACACTAGTCTATTTAATGTAAGATACCAGATGATAAATGTCTTCTAAAGATTGAGGATCTGCTCCTCCTTGAAGGAGGAAAGCTCAGGAACAGGATGT